GCGATGGCTTCCGCAATGTGCAAGAGGCGCACTCGTAAACCATGTGGCAAATTAGATGGGATATTGTAGATAACCTTAAAAGCTTTATTCAATTCGACTTGATGACCTGTGTCAACCAAGTGAGAGAGAATAGAACTTTTAATCACTTTTACCTGTCCTTTGTTTAACCACGACGGATGATGTTCAGTAATGCGGTGACGGACTTGCCGAATCGTACGCCCAATATAACTGGCTCCACAGGAGCAGTTGAAACGATAGATACACATAGATTTGGCGAATTCTGGCAGTCTGTCTTTAATGGATGTTCTTATTTTCGGTTGGTTGTAGAAGATGACATTTAATTTGGCAGCATTAAATGTTTTTTGTACCGCTCTTCTTAGTTTCTGAGTCATGACTTCTTCAATGGAGTCATTTATGAATTGTAGTTTTATGAATAATATCTTCTTGGGGACAGTGGGTATTTTTGTCCTTGTTTTCTTCTCCGTCATATGTCTTTCGATGAATTTCATTGGGTACCCATTTAGACTGAGTAGGTTCCGAATATTGTTCAGTTCATCTTCAATAGTGTCTTCAGAACAGATCATTCTAGCACGATGTGTCAAGATCTTTATTAAGTTCCTTTTGTATCTAATTGGAACTGCACTGTGGAAATGAGTGTATTGACCAGCTGCTGACTTTCTGTGTACTCTTCTTTTTATAGTTCCATCTGTTCTTCTAGTTAGTTGGACATCTAGAAAAGATATGCTATTATTTTGTTCATCTTCTGATGTAAAGTTAATTGATGGGTGAACGTTATTAAATATATTAAGTAGATTGTGCTTATCATTTTCTTTTTCTAATACTATGAAGGTATCATCTATATAGCGATAATAAGTTGGTAAATGGCTAATTATGCTTTTAAGTGGTCCGTTTTCCAGTTTTGCAAGGAAAATATCAGCCAGTAGAGGGCCCAATGGTGATCCCATGGCAACTCCATCTAGCTGTCTATAGTATTCGTTGTCAAATCTGAATTGTGCATTCATTGTGCATCTGAGAATTAACTGTTTTATCGAGGATGCTGGAATCGGGGTTTCTATACGTCTCTCTGTTAGTTCATTACAAATAAAATCAACTGTTTCTTGTAATGGAATGTTAGTGAATAAAGATGATACATCAAGTGATAACATGAAATTATTCTTGACTGATAGATTTTTTATGTTCTCAACAAATTCAAAGGAATCCTTGACACTATGCTTGACAATTTCTTTGTGTAATGGTTTAAGAATTTGCACCAACCATTTTGCTATAGTATGATACGCTGAGTTATTCATGTCTAAAACTGGTCGAAGGGGTAAGCCACTTTTGTGTATTTTTGGTAGGCCATATAGTCTTGGTGTCATCGTTCCTGTAGGTTTCAACATTTCGAACATCTTTTCTGAAATAAAACCTTGTTGTTTAATTTCTTTCAGTGAATCTGTTAATTGCTTTTCAATCTTATCTGCTATGTCGTTCTTTACAGACAGTTTCTGAAATTTGCTTTTATCATTTAAAAGGGCTTTCATTTTGTTTATGTAGTCATTTTTGTCCATGAGTACTATTCCATGTCCTTTGTCAGGTTTCATGATTAATAAATTGTCATTAGTTTTAAGTTGTCTTAAAGCTTCTGTATGTTTTTTCGTCAAAATCCCTTTCGTGTTGTGTCTATGATTTAAATATTTAAAACAACAGTCGACTAGTGTTGATTTAAATCTTTCAACATTATCTTTTGATGAAGCTACTAGTTCTGCCGTTTGAGCATGAAGATTTTCGAATTGAATCTCAACGTCCATTTTATTTACTGTTTTCTTGAAGTCACAAAACTTAGGGCCTAATGATAACGCTTCTAACGCAGTTTTATCCAGTATAACACTAGAGAAATTGTGCACGTACTGACCTGGATTGGATGGAAATTTCATTTCTGGGATCTGTTTGTCTAGATTTTTCTTAAGTTTCATTCTTTTCTTTTCTTTTCTTGAGTTAACAACCATCTCCACATAGTCCAGATACTGATCTCTTAATTTATCAGGGAGATCATCTACAGCATAAATTCTCTCGTTGATATTTTTTACCATCTCAGCAATGTATGAGTTTAGAGAATCGATTTGGTTAACGGCGTAGCGTTTGAGAGTCCTTTCATTTGGTCGAACTCGAGAGCGACGTAAAGATTTCCAATACAACTTTGGATACAAGTTGGTTTCTATGCACTCCTTTATAAAATCAACATTTGTCATCGCCTCACTGAGCCTTGCGCTATACTTCAGATACTCATTGAGAACCTTTAACGCAAATGTTTGCTCAGAACGTTTCAATATAGTGAAAATTCCCATTTTGCCATTTGGTAAATAAAGAAGGAACGAATTGAGCGAAGAAATTTCTTTTCAATTAGTTTTTCATCATGGCTCTACACTAATATATATACGTTTTACAATAATAATATAATACTCATCGAGTGGATACGTTACGTAATAATGACATAATGACATTTAAATTAACATTAATTAATTGGAAGAAAGAGGATTATTAATATTCAAAGTGATCAAGAAGTTGCTAAGTTGCGTAATGTAAGAAACAAAGAAGGAACAGAATTTTAACGGATGGTCAATAGGATGGTAGTTACGTAAGAATCAAGAGATGAATGTTGAGAAGTTATTAAGTTCAAAAGCAATAGAAATAAAATTACAAAAGTTCAAAAAATTAAAAAATTACAAAAGTTTTTAAAAATTAAAAAATGGAAGAAGTATGAAAAATAGTTTTTTTGAAGGAAATCTTAAACTGATGGCCAGGGCAGGGAAAGTGGTTGTACGAATCTCTTTTGTATGCAAAGGTCAGGTTTGTGAACATGGATTGCGATGGCTTCCGCAATGTGCAAGAGGCGCACTCGTAAACCATGTGGCAAATTAGATGGGATATTGTAGATAACCTTAAAAGCTTTATTCAATTCGACTTGATGACCTGTGTCAACCAAGTGAGAGAGAATAGAACTTTTAATCACTTTTACCTGTCCTTTGTTTAACCACGACGGATGATGTTCAGTAATGCGGTGACGGACTTGCCGAATCGTACGCCCAATATAACTGGCTCCACAGGAGCAGTTGAAACGATAGATACACATAGATTTGGCGAATTCTGGCAGTCTGTCTTTAATGGATGTTCTTATTTTCGGTTGGTTGTAGAAGATGACATTTAATTTGGCAGCATTAAATGTTTTTTGTACCGCTCTTCTTAGTTTCTGAGTCATGACTTCTTCAATGGAGTCATTTATGAATTGTAGTTTTATGAATAATATCTTCTTGGGGACAGTGGGTATTTTTGTCCTTGTTTTCTTCTCCGTCATATGTTTTTCGATGAATTTCATTGGGTACCCATTTAGACTGAGTAGGTTCCGAATATTGTTCAGTTCATCTTCAATAGTGTCTTCAGAACAGATCATTCTAGCACGATGTGTCAAGATCTTTATTAAGTTCCTTTTGTATCTAATTGGAACTGCACTGTGGAAATGAGTGTATTGACCAGCTGCTGACTTTCTGTGTACTCTTCTTTTTATAGTTCCATCTGTTCTTCTAGTTAGTTGGACATCTAGAAAAGATATGCTATTATTTTGTTCATCTTCTGATGTAAAGTTAATTGATGGGTGAACGTTATTAAATATATTAAGTAGATTGTGCTTATCATTTTCTTTTTCTAATACTATGAAGGTATCATCTATATAGCGATAATAAGTTGGTAAATGGCTAATTATGCTTTTAAGTGGTCCGTTTTCCAGTTTTGCAAGGAAAATATCAGCCAGTAGAGGGCCCAATGGTGATCCCATGGCAACTCCATCTAGCTGTCTATAGTATTCGTTGTCAAATCTGAATTGTGCATTCATTGTGCATCTGAGAATTAACTGTTTTATCGAGGATGCTGGAATCGGGGTTTCTATACGTCTCTCTGTTAGTTCATTACAAATAAAATCAACTGTTTCTTGTAATGGAATGTTAGTGAATAAAGATGATACATCAAGTGATAACATGAAATTATTCTTGACTGATAGATTTTTTATGTTCTCAACAAATTCAAAGGAATCCTTGACACTATGCTTGACAATTTCTTTGTGTAATGGTTTAAGAATTTGCACCAACCATTTTGCTATAGTATGATACGCTGAGTTATTCATGTCTAAAACTGGTCGAAGGGGTAAGCCACTTTTGTGTATTTTTGGTAGGCCATATAGTCTTGGTGTCATCGTTCCTGTAGGTTTCAACATTTCGAACATCTTTTCTGAAATAAAACCTTGTTGTTTAATTTCTTTCAGTGAATCTGTTAATTGCTTTTCAATCTTATCTGCTATGTCGTTCTTTACAGACAGTTTCTGAAATTTGCTTTTATCATTTAAAAGGGCTTTCATTTTGTTTATGTAGTCATTTTTGTCCATGAGTACTATTCCATGTCCTTTGTCAGGTTTCATGATTAATAAATTGTCATTAGTTTTAAGTTGTCTTAAAGCTTCTGTATGTTTTTTCGTCAAAATCCCTTTCGTGTTGTGTCTAAATGGGTATGTCCCCAAGAAGGTATTATTCATAAAACTACAATTCATAAATGACTCCATTGAAGAAGTCATGACTCAGAAACTAAGAAGAGCGGTACAAAAAACATTTAATGCTGCCAAATTAAATGTCATCTTCTACAACCAACCGAAAATAAGAACATCCATTAAAGACAGACTGCCAGAATTCGCCAAATCTATGTGTATCTATCGTTTCAACTGCTCCTGTGGAGCCAGTTATATTGGGCGTACGATTCGGCAAGTCCGTCACCGCATTACTGAACATCATCCGTCGTGGTTAAACAAAGGACAGGTAAAAGTGATTAAAAGTTCTATTCTCTCTCACTTGGTTGACACAGGTCATCAAGTCGAATTGAATAAAGCTTTTAAGGTTATCTACAATATCCCATCTAATTTGCCACATGGTTTACGAGTGCGCCTCTTGCACATTGCGGAAGCCATCGCAATCCATGTTCACAAACCTGACCTTTGCATACAAAAGAGATTCGTACAACCACTTTCCCTGCCCTGGCCATCAGTTTAAGATTTCCTTCAAAAAAACTATTTTTCATACTTCTTCCATTTTTTAATTTTTAAAAACTTTTGTAATTTTTGTAATTTTTTGAACTTTTGTAATTTTATTTCTATTGCTTTTGAACTTAATAACTTCTCAACATTCATCTCTTGATTCTTACGTAACTACCATCCTATTGACCATCCGTTAAAATTCTGTTCCTTCTTTGTTTCTTACATTACGCAACTTAGCAACTTCTTGATCACTTTGAATATTAATAATCCTCTTTCTTCCAATTAATTAATGTTAATTTAAATGTCATTATGTCATTATTACGTAACGTATCCACTCGATGAGTATTATATTATTATTGTAAAACGTATATATATTAGTGTAGAGCCATGATGAAAAACTAATTGAAAAGAAATTTCTTCGCTCAATTCGTTCCTTCTTTATTTACCAAATGGCAAAATGGGAATTTTCACTATATTGAAACGTTCTGAGCAAACATTTGCGTTAAAGGTTCTCAATGAGTATCTGAAGTATAGCGCAAGGCTCAGTGAGGCGATGACAAATGTTGATTTTATAAAGGAGTGCATAGAAACCAACTTGTATCCAAAGTTGTATTGGAAATCTTTACGTCGCTCTCGAGTTCGACCAAATGAAAGGACTCTCAAACGCTACGCCGTTAACCAAATCGATTCTCTAAACTCATACATTGCTGAGATGGTAAAAAATATCAACGAGAGAATTTATGCTGTAGATGATCTCCCTGATAAATTAAGAGATCAGTATCTGGACTATGTGGAGATGGTTGTTAACTCAAGAAAAGAAAAGAAAAGAATGAAACTTAAGAAAAATCTAGACAAACAGATCCCAGAAATGAAATTTCCATCCAATCCAGGTCAGTACGTGCACAATTTCTCTAGTGTTATACTGGATAAAACTGCGTTAGAAGCGTTATCATTAGGCCCTAAGTTTTGTGACTTCAAGAAAACAGTAAATAAAATGGACGTTGAGATTCAATTCGAAAATCTTCATGCTCAAACGGCAGAACTAGTAGCTTCATCAAAAGATAATGTTGAAAGATTTAAATCAACACTAGTCGACTGTTGTTTTAAATATTTAAATCATAGACACAACACGAAAGGGATTTTGACGAAAAAACATACAGAAGCTTTAAGACAACTTAAAACTAATGACAATTTATTAATCATGAAACCTGACAAAGGACATGGAATAGTACTCATGGACAAAAATGACTACATAAACAAAATGAAAGCCCTTTTAAATGATAAAAGCAAATTTCAGAAACTGTCTGTAAAGAACGACATAGCAGATAAGATTGAAAAGCAATTAACAGATTCACTGAAAGAAATTAAACAACAAGGTTTTATTTCAGAAAAGATGTTCGAAATGTTGAAACCTACAGGAACGATGACACCAAGACTATATGGCCTACCAAAAATACACAAAAGTGGCTTACCCCTTCGACCAGTTTTAGACATGAATAACTCAGCGTATCATACTATAGCAAAATGGTTGGTGCAAATTCTTAAACCATTACACAAAGAAATTGTCAAGCATAGTGTCAAGGATTCCTTTGAATTTGTTGAGAACATAAAAAATCTATCAGTCAAGAATAATTTCATGTTATCACTTGATGTATCATCTTTATTCACTAACATTCCATTACAAGAAACAGTTGATTTTATTTGTAATGAACTAACAGAGAGACGTATAGAAACCCCGATTCCAGCATCCTCGATAAAACAGTTAATTCTCAGATGCACAATGAATGCACAATTCAGATTTGACAACGAATACTATAGACAGCTAGATGGAGTTGCCATGGGATCACCATTGGGCCCTCTACTGGCTGATATTTTCCTTGCAAAACTGGAAAACGGACCACTTAAAAGCATAATTAGCCATTTACCAACTTATTATCGCTATATAGATGATACCTTCATAGTATTAGAAAAAGAAAATGATAAGCACAATCTACTTAATATATTTAATAACGTTCACCCATCAATTAACTTTACATCAGAAGATGAACAAAATAATAGCATATCTTTTCTAGATGTCCAACTAACTAGAAGAACAGATGGAACTATAAAAAGAAGAGTACACAGAAAGTCAGCAGCTGGTCAATACACTCATTTCCACAGTGCAGTTCCAATTAGATACAAAAGGAACTTAATAAAGATCTTGACACATCGTGCTAGAATGATCTGTTCTGAAGACACTATTGAAGATGAACTGAACAATATTCGGAACCTACTCAGTCTAAATGGGTACCCAATGAAATTCATCGAAAAACATATGACGGAGAAGAAAACAAGGACAAAAATACCCACTGTCCCCAAGAAGATATTATTCATAAAACTACAATTCATAAATGACTCCATTGAAGAAGTCATGACTCAGAAACTAAGAAGAGCGGTACAAAAAACATTTAATGCTGCCAAATTAAATGTCATCTTCTACAACCAACCGAAAATAAGAACATCCATTAAAGACAGACTGCCAGAATTCGCCAAATCTATGTGTATCTATCGTTTCAACTGCTCCTGTGGAGCCAGTTATATTGGGCGTACGATTCGGCAAGTCCGTCACCGCATTACTGAACATCATCCGTCGTGGTTAAACAAAGGACAGGTAAAAGTGATTAAAAGTTCTATTCTCTCTCACTTGGTTGACACAGGTCATCAAGTCGAATTGAATAAAGCTTTTAAGGTTATCTACAATATCCCATCTAATTTGCCACATGGTTTACGAGTGCGCCTCTTGCACATTGCGGAAGCCATCGCAATCCATGTTCACAAACCTGACCTTTGCATACAAAAGAGATTCGTACAACCACTTTCCCTGCCCTGGCCATCAGTTTAAGATTTCCTTCAAAAAAACTATTTTTCATACTTCTTCCATTTTTTAATTTTTAAAAACTTTTGTAATTTTTTAATTTTTTGAACTTTTGTAATTTTATTTCTATTGCTTTTGAACTTAATAACTTCTCAACATTCATCTCTTGATTCTTACGTAACTACCATCCTATTGACCATCCGTTAAAATTCTGTTCCTTCTTTGTTTCTTACATTACGCAACTTAGCAACTTCTTGATCACTTTGAATATTAATAATCCTCTTTCTTCCAATTAATTAATGTTAATTTAAATGTCATTATGTCATTATTACGTAACGTATCCACTCGATGAGTATTATATTATTATTGTAAAACGTATATATATTAGTGTAGAGCCATGATGAAAAACTAATTGAAAAGAAATTTCTTCGCTCAATTCGTTCCTTCTTTATTTACCAAATGGCAAAATGGGAATTTTCACTATATTGAAACGTTCTGAGCAAACATTTGCGTTAAAGGTTCTCAATGAGTATCTGAAGTATAGCGCAAGGCTCAGTGAGGCGATGACAAATGTTGATTTTATAAAGGAGTGCATAGAAACCAACTTGTATCCAAAGTTGTATTGGAAATCTTTACGTCGCTCTCGAGTTCGACCAAATGAAAGGACTCTCAAACGCTACGCCGTTAACCAAATCGATTCTCTAAACTCATACATTGCTGAGATGGTAAAAAATATCAACGAGAGAATTTATGCTGTAGATGATCTCCCTGATAAATTAAGAGATCAGTATCTGGACTATGTGGAGATGGTTGTTAACTCAAGAAAAGAAAAGAAAAGAATGAAACTTAAGAAAAATCTAGACAAACAGATCCCAGAAATGAAATTTCCATCCAATCCAGGTCAGTACGTGCACAATTTCTCTAGTGTTATACTGGATAAAACTGCGTTAGAAGCGTTATCATTAGGCCCTAAGTTTTGTGACTTCAAGAAAACAGTAAATAAAATGGACGTTGAGATTCAATTCGAAAATCTTCATGCTCAAACGGCAGAACTAGTAGCTTCATCAAAAGATAATGTTGAAAGATTTAAATCAACACTAGTCGACTGTTGTTTTAAATATTTAAATCATAGACACAACACGAAAGGGATTTTGACGAAAAAACATACAGAAGCTTTAAGACAACTTAAAACTAATGACAATTTATTAATCATGAAACCTGACAAAGGACATGGAATAGTACTCATGGACAAAAATGACTACATAAACAAAATGAAAGCCCTTTTAAATGATAAAAGCAAATTTCAGAAACTGTCTGTAAAGAACGACATAGCAGATAAGATTGAAAAGCAATTAACAGATTCACTGAAAGAAATTAAACAACAAGGTTTTATTTCAGAAAAGATGTTCGAAATGTTGAAACCTACAGGAACGATGACACCAAGACTATATGGCCTACCAAAAATACACAAAAGTGGCTTACCCCTTCGACCAGTTTTAGACATGAATAACTCAGCGTATCATACTATAGCAAAATGGTTGGTGCAAATTCTTAAACCATTACACAAAGAAATTGTCAAGCATAGTGTCAAGGATTCCTTTGAATTTGTTGAGAACATAAAAAATCTATCAGTCAAGAATAATTTCATGTTATCACTTGATGTATCATCTTTATTCACTAACATTCCATTACAAGAAACAGTTGATTTTATTTGTAATGAACTAACAGAGAGACGTATAGAAACCCCGATTCCAGCATCCTCGATAAAACAGTTAATTCTCAGATGCACAATGAATGCACAATTCAGATTTGACAACGAATACTATAGACAGCTAGATGGAGTTGCCATGGGATCACCATTGGGCCCTCTACTGGCTGATATTTTCCTTGCAAAACTGGAAAACGGACCACTTAAAAGCATAATTAGCCATTTACCAACTTATTATCGCTATATAGATGATACCTTCATAGTATTAGAAAAAGAAAATGATAAGCACAATCTACTTAATATATTTAATAACGTTCACCCATCAATTAACTTTACATCAGAAGATGAACAAAATAATAGCATATCTTTTCTAGATGTCCAACTAACTAGAAGAACAGATGGAACTATAAAAAGAAGAGTACACAGAAAGTCAGCAGCTGGTCAATACACTCATTTCCACAGTGCAGTTCCAATTAGATACAAAAGGAACTTAATAAAGATCTTGACACATCGTGCTAGAATGATCTGTTCTGAAGACACTATTGAAGATGAACTGAACAATATTCGGAACCTACTCAGTCTAAATGGGTACCCAATGAAATTCATCGAAAAACATATGACGGAGAAGAAAACAAGGACAAAAATACCCACTGTCCCCAAGAAGATATTATTCATAAAACTACAATTCATAAATGACTCCATTGAAGAAGTCATGACTCAGAAACTAAGAAGAGCGGTACAAAAAACATTTAATGCTGCCAAATTAAATGTCATCTTCTACAACCAACCGAAAATAAGAACATCCATTAAAGACAGACTGCCAGAATTCGCCAAATCTATGTGTATCTATCGTTTCAACTGCTCCTGTGGAGCCAGTTATATTGGGCGTACGATTCGGCAAGTCCGTCACCGCATTACTGAACATCATCCGTCGTGGTTAAACAAAGGACAGGTAAAAGTGATTAAAAGTTCTATTCTCTCTCACTTGGTTGACACAGGTCATCAAGTCGAATTGAATAAAGCTTTTAAGGTTATCTACAATATCCCATCTAATTTGCCACATGGTTTACGAGTGCGCCTCTTGCACATTGCGGAAGCCATCGCAATCCATGTTCACAAACCTGACCTTTGCATACAAAAGAGATTCGTACAACCACTTTCCCTGCCCTGGCCATCAGTTTAAGATTTCCTTCAAAAAAACTATTTTTCATACTTCTTCCATTTTTTAATTTTTAAAAACTTTTGTAATTTTTTATTTTTGAACTTTTGTAATTTTATTTCTATTGCTTTTGAACTTAATAACTTCTCAACATTCATCTCTTGATTCTTACGTAACTACCATCCTATTGACCATCCGTTAAAATTCTGTTCCTTCTTTGTTTCTTACATTACGCAACTTAGCAACTTCTTGATCACTTTGAATATTAATAATCCTCTTTCTTCCAATTAATTAATGTTAATTTAAATGTCATTATGTCATTATTACGTAACGTATCCACTCGATGAGTATTATATTATTATTGTAAAACGTATATATATTAGTGTAGAGCCATGATGAAAAACTAATTGAAAAGAAATTTCTTCGCTCAATTCGTTCCTTCTTTATTTACCAAATGGCAAAATGGGAATTTTCACTATATTGAAACGTTCTGAGCAAACATTTGCGTTAAAGGTTCTCAATGAGTATCTGAAGTATAGCGCAAGGCTCAGTGAGGCGATGACAAATGTTGATTTTATAAAGGAGTGCATAGAAACCAACTTGTATCCAAAGTTGTATTGGAAATCTTTACGTCGCTCTCGAGTTCGACCAAATGAAAGGACTCTCAAACGCTACGCCGTTAACCAAATCGATTCTCTAAACTCATACATTGCTGAGATGGTAAAAAATATCAACGAGAGAATTTATGCTGTAGATGATCTCCCTGATAAATTAAGAGATCAGTATCTGGACTATGTGGAGATGGTTGTTAACTCAAGAAAAGAAAAGAAAAGAATGAAACTTAAGAAAAATCTAGACAAACAGATCCCAGAAATGAAATTTCCATCCAATCCAGGTCAGTACGTGCACAATTTCTCTAGTGTTATACTGGATAAAACTGCGTTAGAAGCGTTATCATTAGGCCCTAAGTTTTGTGACTTCAAGAAAACAGTAAATAAAATGGACGTTGAGATTCAATTCGAAAATCTTCATGCTCAAACGGCAGAACTAGTAGCTTCATCAAAAGATAATGTTGAAAGATTTAAATCAACACTAGTCGACTGTTGTTTTAAATATTTAAATCATAGACACAACACGAAAGGGATTTTGACGAAAAAACATACAGAAGCTTTAAGACAACTTAAAACTAATGACAATTTATTAATCATGAAACCTGACAAAGGACATGGAATAGTACTCATGGACAAAAATGACTACATAAACAAAATGAAAGCCCTTTTAAATGATAAAAGCAAATTTCAGAAACTGTCTGTAAAGAACGACATAGCAGATAAGATTGAAAAGCAATTAACAGATTCACTGAAAGAAATTAAACAACAAGGTTTTATTTCAGAAAAGATGTTCGAAATGTTGAAACCTACAGGAACGATGACACCAAGACTATATGGCCTACCAAAAATACACAAAAGTGGCTTACCCCTTCGACCAGTTTTAGACATGAATAACTCAGCGTATCATACTATAGCAAAATGGTTGGTGCAAATTCTTAAACCATTACACAAAGAAATTGTCAAGCATAGTGTCAAGGATTCCTTTGAATTTGTTGAGAACATAAAAAATCTATCAGTCAAGAATAATTTCATGTTATCACTTGATGTATCATCTTTATTCACTAACATTCCATTACAAGAAACAGTTGATTTTATTTGTAATGAACTAACAGAGAGACGTATAGAAACCCCGATTCCAGCATCCTCGATAAAACAGTTAATTCTCAGATGCACAATGAATGCACAATTCAGATTTGACAACGAATACTATAGACAGCTAGATGGAGTTGCCATGGGATCACCATTGGGCCCTCTACTGGCTGATATTTTCCTTGCAAAACTGGAAAACGGACCACTTAAAAGCATAATTAGCCATTTACCAACTTATTATCGCTATATAGATGATACCTTCATAGTATTAGAAAAAGAAAATGATAAGCACAATCTACTTAATATATTTAATAACGTTCACCCATCAATTAACTTTACATCAGAAGATGAACAAAATAATAGCATATCTTTTCTAGATGTCCAACTAACTAGAAGAACAGATGGAACTATAAAAAGAAGAGTACACAGAAAGTCAGCAGCTGGTCAATACACTCATTTCCACAGTGCAGTTCCAATTAGATACAAAAGGAACTTAATAAAGATCTTGACACATCGTGCTAGAATGATCTGTTCTGAAGACACTATTGAAGATGAACTGAACAATATTCGGAACCTACTCAGTCTAAATGGGTACCCAATGAAATTCATCGAAAAACATATGACGGAGAAGAAAACAAGGACAAAAATACCCACTGTCCCCAAGAAGATATTATTCATAAAACTACAATTCATAAATGACTCCATTGAAGAAGTCATGACTCAGAAACTAAGAAGAGCGGTACAAAAAACATTTAATGCTGCCAAATTAAATGTCATCTTCTACAACCAACCGAAAATAAGAACATCCATTAAAGACAGACTGCCAGAATTCGCCAAATCTATGTGTATCTATCGTTTCAACTGCTCCTGTGGAGCCAGTTATATTGGGCGTACGATTCGGCAAGTCCGTCACCGCATTACTGAACATCATCCGTCGTGGTTAAACAAAGGACAGGTAAAAGTGATTAAAAGTTCTATTCTCTCTCACTTGGTTGACACAGGTCATCAAGTCGAATTGAATAAAGCTTTTAAGGTTATCTACAATATCCCATCTAATTTGCCACATGGTTTACGAGTGCGCCTCTTGCACATTGCGGAAGCCATCGCAATCCATGTTCACAAACCTGACCTTTGCATACAAAAGAGATTCGTACAACCACTTTCCCTGCCCTGGCCATCAGTTTAAGATTTCCTTCAAAAAAACTATTTTTCATACTTCTTCCATTTTTTAATTTTTAAAAACTTTTGTAATTTTTTAATTTTTTGAACTTTTGTAATTTTATTTCTATTGCTTTTGAACTTAATAACTTCTCAACATTCATCTCTTGATTCTTACGTAACTACCATCCTATTGACCATCCGTTAAAATTCTGTTCCTTCTTTGTTTCTTACATTACGCAACTTAGCAACTTCTTGATCACTTTGAATATTAATAATCCTCTTTCTTCCAATTAATTAATGTTAATTTAAATGTCATTATGTCATTATTACGTAACGTATCCACTCGATGAGTATTATATTATTATTGTAAAACGTATATATATTAGTGTAGAGCCATGATGAAAAACTAATTGAAAAGAAATTTCTTCGCTCAATTCGTTCCTTCTTTATTTACCAAATGGCAAAATGGGAATTTTCACTATATTGAAACGTTCTGAGCAAACATTTGCGTTAAAGGTTCTCAATGAGTATCTGAAGTATAGCGCAAGGCTCAGTGAGGCGATGACAAATGTTGATTTTATAAAGGAGTGCATAGAAACCAACTTGTATCCAAAGTTGTATTGGAAATCTTTACGTCGCTCTCGAGTTCGACCAAATGAAAGGACTCTCAAACGCTACGCCGTTAACCAAATCGATTCTCTAAACTCATACATTGCTGAGATGGTAAAAAATATCAACGAGAGAATTTATGCTGTAGATGATCTCCCTGATAAATTAAGAGATCAGTATCTGGACTATGTGGAGATGGTTGTTAACTCAAGAAAAGAAAAGAAAAGAATGAAACTTAAGAAAAATCTAGACAAACAGATCCCAGAAATGAAATTTCCATCCAATCCAGGTCAGTACGTGCACAATTTCTCTAGTGTTATACTGGATAAAACTGCGTTAGAAGCGTTATCATTAGGCCCTAAGTTTTGTGACTTCAAGAAAACAGTAAATAAAATGGACGTTGAGATTCAATTCGAAAATCTTCATGCTCAAACGGCAGAACTAGTAGCTTCATCAAAAGATAATGTTGAAAGATTTAAATCAACACTAGTCGACTGTTGTTTTAAATATTTAAATCATAGACACAACACGAAAGGGATTTTGACGAAAAAACATACAGAAGCTTTAAGACAACTTAAAACTAATGACAATTTATTAATCATGAAACCTGACAAAGGACATGGAATAGTACTCATGGACAAAAATGACTACATAAACAAAATGAAAGCCCTTTTAAATGATAAAAGCAAATTTCAGAAACTGTCTGTAAAGAACGACATAGCAGATAAGATTGAAAAGCAATTAACAGATTCACTGAAAGAAATTAAACAACAAGGTTTTATTTCAGAAAAGATGTTCGAAATGTTGAAACCTACAGGAACGATGACACCAAGACTATATGGCCTACCAAAAATACACAAAAGTGGCTTACCCCTTCGACCAGTTTTAGACATGAATAACTCAGCGTATCATACTATAGCAAAATGGTTGGTGCAAATTCTTAAACCATTACACAAAGAAATTGTCAAGCATAGTGTCAAGGATTCCTTTGAATTTGTTGAGAACATAAAAAATCTATCAGTCAAGAATAATTTCATGTTATCACTTGATGTATCATCTTTATTCACTAACATTCCATTACAAGAAACAGTTGATTTTATTTGTAATGAACTAACAGAGAGACGTATAGAAACCCCGATTCCAGCATCCTCGATAAAACAGTTAATTCTCAGATGCACAATGAATGCACAATTCAGATTTGACAACGAATACTATAGACAGCTAGATGGAGTTGCCATGGGATCACCATTGGGCCCTCTACTGGCTGATATTTTCCTTGCAAAACTGGAAAACGGACCACTTAAAAGCATAATTAGCCATTTACCAACTTATTATCGCTATATAGATGATACCTTCATAGTATTAGAAAAAGAAAATGATAAGCACAATCTACTTAATATATTTAATAACGTTCACCCATCAATTAACTTTACATCAGAAGATGAACAAAATAATAGCATATCTTTTCTAGATGTCCAACTAACTAGAAGAACAGATGGAACTATAAAAAGAAGAGTACACAGAAA